AGTCGTAGTCGTAGTCGTAGTCGTAGTCGTCGTCGTCGTAGTAGTGGTAGTAGTAGTAGTAGTAGTAGTAGTGGTAGCAGCAGCAGCAGCATCAGCAGCAGCAGCAGCAGTAAACGGTTCAGCATGCCTTTGTACGTACAGGCTTGCATGCCTGCATGTGTGTACATACCCAGAGATACTAAGAAACATCTCGACAAGCTTGGTCCAGACGCCCTTCCTGACTGTAAAAATAAAACGTACGTCCGGCTTCTATACGTTTGTAGTCACGCGGCTGCTTCAACATGCGTTTTTCTCACATTCCCGTACGACGGACTCCCTGTGCAAGCATAGGCAAGCACACATGCGCAGTTCTCTAAACAACGGTCCCGTTTAGGTGCCCCCCCATATAGTACGAAGCCCTGACAAAAGGGACCCTTTAGAGAACTAACTGACTACCCACACGTCCTAGCCAGGTGCGAGGCAAAAAAACTACCACACACGTGTGCATAACCAATTATCTAGGGACAAAAAGCATCTTGCTGAAGGCAGTGGCGCCTCATAAAGCAGACTATCGGTTGAGGGTTTAGGGTTTGTATGGTTTGGGGGTTTCCGGGTTTAGGGTTCGATCCTTGCTAAGTACAACACGGCACCATTGAGTATCCTAGCGGGACTGTTGCGGTATCCACTCGACCTGACTAGCCTGCATTTGCGTCGAGTCTTGTTGGCCTGAAAAGGATGTGATGCTTCATGCAGTGAATTGGTTGCTCTGGCTATTTTTTATGATAGAAACTGCGAGACAGTGTGGGAGGGCCAAGGCTAGTCAAATCAATAGTAGTGGCCAACCAACAGATGTCAAGTGCCTGTCGCATGCACTGTTATGTTCAGACTGTGTTCCGCAGGTAACTTAGCAAAGCGTCGCTCCTGTGCGATTGGACCATTGCTGTCTTATGTTTGGTATGCGGCGAAAGACTGAAACTATTTGAGCAATGGCATCGCGTATGCGGGGTGGAAGACGCAATCGAAATTTCGCCGACAACTCTCAAGCACTCGGCGCTAGAGGTATTAGCAGCCGTTTCCATGCATGGGCGAAGGTTGGGTAGTTACGAGGACGGACTGCGAGGAAGTCAAGGCAACCAGTTCGACACCTGTAGGCTTGGCTTAGGGAGTGCAGATGGCAGCTATAATAAGTACACCCAAATCTGGAGTCAGTAGAGAACGAGGATCGTATACATGTAGGCACCTTTTTTTGCAGCCGACTACACCCTAGCCGACCTGGCTTAAAGTCCTGCACCCCCAAAACCTTCAGCACTGAACCGACTTCACCCACAACTTCTCTTCACCAACCCTAAACCCTAAAGCCTAAGATCACGGATTTTAAACATCCTATCATAAATCTTAACCAAAACTTTAACCCAGGATGCGCTGGAACCTCTTGATTGGCATCCCCGACTTCCTTTTCCTGGTGGGTGACGCGGTCCTGAGGTTTGGATTTTTTGGGGTCTGCGGTTCTGTTGTTTGGATTAAATTTTGGCGGGAGTATCACTTCACATCATTACTGAGATTAGCTGCTCTAAGTCACGCGGTCCTGAGGTTTCGAATTTTCGCCCGATTGTCTTGTCTTGCAACAGGCATTAGCCTCGCTCCTGCTAGTTGCTGTGAATTACTGCCAGTGCTGCAAGCACTCGGCCTATTGCTCTAACCTGCTGCATTCTGACACATGGTGCGTTTCGTAGGTGAGTTGATGCAGATGTCCCGCACTTTAGCTAGTTGCAACAATGGAAAAAAGGCGTCACGGATCCCTGCCAAGCTGCGGCGCCGAAGCGTTTTCTGACATACTTTCCTACTACGTCAAAAACGAAACCAATCACCATGAATTTCATACAGATGCCAAGAGTCTGCGCATGTCATGTTGTATTCGGGACTCGAACGATTTGTGAGAAGAAAAGTCGGTGCCTTCTGAATCTAGGGTCGAACCTTATTTTCACCAATAGAAGTGTCGGGGTGCAGACATGCCATCAGCAAGACCAAGTAGTATCAATACTTCTGGTAGTATTTCGTCGTAGTAGTAGTCGTCTACTGCTACCACTGCCCGAAGGGCAGTTGTGTTGCACGATGTGATCTGATCAAGGCGACGACACCTTCGGATTGCTGGTCTCGAGATTCTTTTATATCCCGATGTGCGTGCTCGCAGCGAAGGCACAGATTCCTGAAATCCCAAATTGCTCTGGAAAATGTCGACCATTCTTCTCATGTGAACTCGAATCCCTAAGCTTCTTTACCTGCCCTGGGGTCTCGGAGTTCCTTTGCACAATCTCGCTGTCATGTGCCCGATTATAATTTCACTCCTACATCCCAGCTTTCCCCAGACCTTGAATGTAAACCCCTGAACCCCTCCTTTCCAATTTCCAAGGCCCCGATCTGTGGAGATTCCTAAAGCTCCTAAACCCTAAAGCTTGAACTTCCCTAAACCCTAAATCCTAAACCCCTAAATCCTAAACCCCTAAACCCTAAAGCCGAAACCCTGACAAGCCGTAAACCCTAAACCCGCTAAACCCCTAAACCCGAAAACCCCTAAACCCCTAAACCCTAAAACCCCTAAACCCCTAAACCTCTAAACCGGGGCTCCTACACCTTGAGCCCGAAGTTGCCTTGGGTTACCGTTTGGTAGCCCAAATATAAAATCCGTGAAGCCAAAATAAAGTACACCGAACCCTGTTCCAACTGCTAGTTAAAAGGCCCTACAGTAAAACCTCACAGCCGAACTAAACACCAATACAAAACCTATCCTCAGAATCCTCTACGCACTGTTGAAAAAAACATAAATCTTCAAGCCCCATCCCTGAACCTAAATCCCAGATATATATATATATATATTACATGAAAACAAATATAGATGTATAGAACCCCACTCTGGCTCTTAAGGCCTTGTAACAAAGATCCCTGCCCACCGAAGCCTAAAGCCCCAACCTGAAAGCTCGCGTGGATTGTCCGAGCTGTGAGCACCGAAACCCTCAACGACCCTCGATTCACCCAACACTGCACGCCAAAAACCCTAAAGCCCAAACCATTGATGAAGCGAGCCTGACCAACAAGGCTGAGGTCCATAACTAGGTATCTTGGGGATCGTTGGACGTCAGCAAGCAAGCGTGCTGGGTTTTTCCTCTGGTTCAGCAGGGGTGTACTATTGCTGGGAGTGTTGAGCACATGCTTGCAATATCTTGGGTTGCACACAGCAGACCCCGAGCCACATGCCTCGCCTGGAGTGTCCGAGTGTGAGCGCCGAAACCCTAAACCTGATAGTAAACCCTTAAAACAAATTGGACACCGGATTAAGGACAAGTAGTGCTGGGATTCCCTTTACATTACTCTAAAGGATTGAGGCTGTTGAACGATTGGGTTTCCAACTTGTGGGCTTCTGCCATAATAGACTCAAGGTATGCCCACCGAATCTGGAGGCGACCTTATTTGCGCATCTCGGGCTCAACGCTTTGGTCATATTTCCTCGCTTTCAGAATGGTTTAGGGCTTTCGGTTTTGGGGTTTAGGGTTTAGACTAGAGAGGTTCTTCTAGGTTTCTTTACGGGTTTCTCTAAAGGCTTTTTGTTTTTTTTTTAAATCGGGTTGTGTAAGGTTTTAAATTAGTGCAGGGGATTTCAGAATAGGAGGAGCCTTTTGTGTTAAGCAAGGGCGTTTTACAGGCTGTTGTAGCGGCGTCAGATTATCCTATAAGCTTACAAGGAATGTAAGGAATACGGTGAATTATGAATGACGATACCTATTAGGACCTATAAAAAACACTTCTGCGGTTGAAGGGTGCAGAGATTCTATCGTAAAGGTGATTTCTAGGGTACCAAAACACCAGCCTTTGGGGTCCAGCGTCTGGCTTTACGGGTTTACGGTTTCGGGTTTGGGGATGTAGGGGTTTAGGGTTTAAGGTTTCGGGTTTGGGGATTTTAGGGGTTTAGGGTTTAAGGGTTTCGGGTTTGGGGATTAGTGTCATCAAGTTTGGTCCTCATTGCTCTCAGGATCCTACACCTAAGTCTCCTTCGCAGGCTGTCTTGCAGACCGCATATTACCGCAGTCACAGGGTTTCGTGTTTAGGGTTTCAGGTATTCTTAGTTGCAGCAATAAAGCAGCCATTCGAATAGCTCTATGCTGCATTGTGCTGTAATTAACTCCCAGGCGCTCAGCCATGACGCATGCATGCACATGATGTCATGTTCCCGGTTAGTGAAAGATGCTGCACTCCGCACTCAAGTTGCCAGGTTTCGAATCTGGTGGAAGGGCAAGGTACTTCTTCCATACTGTGCAGAGTCTGACAAAAGACGACAAAGACAGGTTGATTATGAGCAACCGGAGAACTGACAAGCTAAGGCCAAGCACCGCCAAATGTTCAAAAGGATAAGAACAACGTAGCACTCAGAATACAACGACGGCAATGTTGATTTCGACAATTAGCATCATTCTCGCCACCATTATTTTCTCCTCCTTCTTATTTGTGTTTCCGCCGTTGCCGTTGTCGTTGCTGCCGTTGCTGTTGCCGTTGCTGCTTTTCGAGCCCCATGCCTCCGAGGGCTAATTGTCAGCTGAGGACGTTGCTGTCACTCTCTAACTTTGGCGGCGCTGTCAGTGGAGCCTTGGACTTGACTTGAGTCTGAAAGCTGGGGATGCTACAATGACCGAAGCGAAAAACCTTGATCTTGCAGCCCATTAAATCTCCCCCTCCCTTGCGGGTTCAGGTCGCAGCGCAGTGATGCAAGGCTAGCACTGTCACCAGCATCTTCCACGATGTCCCTTCCAAACAGATATTGCCTTCCATGGCTCAGGGACAAGCAAGACCTAGCGAGGTAAATAAGATATGATGGCATTCCATGAGGAGGTGGCGTTCAGATGGTTGAGGATCCGAGCATGGTTCGAAGCAGCCGCCCCCCTCGCCCCCCGCCGTCCAACAAGACCCAAAGCGCAGATCTCGCAGCGGAAAAAGCTCCCCTTCACTTAGCCCCAGGATTCCTGGGTGTGACGATGTGCGAGGTGTGGGGTCTCGTCGGAGCTCCTTGGTTCAACTGAACACCATGGCTTTGGAGCAACAGCTTCGCAATTTCGTGCACTTCTTAGCATGGCCGCTGGTTGCGGTAGTTGCACTGCACTCGAATTACGTGTCATGTGTTTGCGTGTTGGGTAGATGTGTCCTAAGCCCTAAGTAAACGTGGCAGCAGAGATGAACACACTGTCCACAGAGCTCAGGATAACTTCGACAATTTGCCGTACGCCAGCCTCACGAAAGCCTGCACGGCACTTCTTCCAATACCTTTGATTTTTGTCTTGGCGCCCACGTTCACACCGAACGATCCTGTGCCCGAGGACCGCCGTGTGATCAAGTAATAACACTACTTAGAATAGTAATCGCAATAATGCAATACTGTTTAAACATGGTAACTGCAATAATAACAATGATTTGCTGATGCTGCACGCTTTTTAGTAATGATAATAATTATAATACTATTAACAAATGACCCCTAGACCACTCCTCCCTTAAACCCTCAAGCCCTAAACCGTCTAGAGCCCCGAGGACGACGTCCAGGCCGAAACGGGCGCGGCCGCGTCCAGGGCCTCCGAGGATGGTTGCTGCGTTTTTTGGGGTGTCGGCTTCAGGGCTGCAAGGGCTTAGGGTTTAGGGTTTAGGGTGTTGAGGATAAACCCTAAACCCTAAATCCACAACGGAACCTGCCATGCCTGCGTGAGCGAGTGTGTGAGTCGAAACCCTTGTGGGCATAGATCCTTAACCATGCGAGAGGGAAAAACACCCTAAATGTAGGGCTTTGGGTTAAAGCTTGAGGGCTTAAGGCATTTTATGTTGGGCTCTATTTGGCATCTGGAGATCTTGTGTCAATTCAGGGGGCCGAAGGGGGAGGTTTTTGCAGTGTTATTTGGGTGTCAGAGTGGCTGTATGGTGCGGTCATCAAGTGATTAGATCCCAAAGCAAAATATCTACTGCTAGCTACTATTACGGTGACGCTTTTTGAAATATGTGGAGGGCGGCCCAGGCCCAAGGATGACGAGGTAGTGTAAATGACCTGTTTAAATCGGAAATTTAAATATCCACCGCCCCCCTTCACTCCGAGCCCTCCAGCCTTCCAGCCCTCCAGCCTTCCAGCCTTCC